GGTCCTCCACGGGGCCCATGGCAGGGGGGGAGGCGTCTCCACTGGGGGCTTCCGAAAGTCTGCAGCAGGTTGTGGGGAGGCCGGGCCGCCCGCCTGCCTCCCCTTGCCAGGCCCTCCCCCGGCCCCCGACTGGAGTTACCAGGTAGAGGCCTTGGGTCCTGGTCAGTGGTATTGGCTCTGGCCTTCTAGTTCCAGCCCTTCCTGGAACTGGGCCGAGTCCATCTCCCTCGCAAAGCCCCTCAGACCACTCTCTTCTTCTCCCTCTTCCGGCTGGCTGTTCATGGTGCCGTAGGTGTGCCGGGCTGGGGAGGAGGCCGGGGTCAGGTTCAGCTCCGGCTCCTGCAGCACGGTGGCCACGTACAGCTGCTCAGGACAGACGGAGGGGGGTGGGGTCACACCTGGAGCACCGCCCTGGGTGCGCCTCTCCCCTCACGCCCTGCCCCTACCCGACCCCTCCACTGCATCCCACATGGGATCCAGCGAACCTTCTTTCTTCCACGTAGCCTGAGTCCTGTCTAACCCCCTCCACCTGCTTGCTCTGGATTATTTAAGCAGCTACGATCAGGGCTAGTTCTCTGGCACGTCTCCCAAGTCCTAGCCCACTGTTCCTTCAGAACACGTTCCATTCATTCTGTTTCAAGTCAGGGGAGATGACAGGAGGCTCCCCTGAGCTGGGATCTGGAGAGACCCCTATTCCTGAGCTAGTGCACTTGCCAGAGAGACAGGAAGCAAGAAATCACTCCCCCCCCGCCATGGGGGATAGCCACACCGCAATCCTTTTCCTCCATTCTCCTCCTGGGATTTTAGGCATGCACACACATGTGCCCGGTATGAGTTTCAAGCCACCAGATCTGGGACTCGAACAGTGGTGGGCCATGTGGGAGTCCAGAGCCTTAACCACTATGCCACCTGCTGGCCCCACTAGTGCACTTTCTAATACAGCTTCAGAGGTGCTCCAGAACTCCCCTGGGGTGTCCCGACGGTCGGCCTGTGAGTCAGCACTGTAAACAAACTGCTAGTTGAGCGCTAGCTCACTGAGCTGTCAAACCCTGAAACCAGCCAGCAGTGCCTGAGAGAGCAACAGACTAGGGCCACGGGGGAAGTCCTCAGAAAAAGGTACTGTCATTATTTTAAGTGGCTTTTGTTTTTAATTGCCAGGGGGTGCATGCACTCACCAGAGAGAGAGAGAGAGAGAGACAGAGGAAGAGGGAGAAAGCACCCCCTAATGGGAGGTGGTCACACCACATACCCTTCTATATCCATCTCTTCATCCCACTGGGATTTGGGACATGCACACACACACATTCCAGGGCTGGGATTCAAACCACAGTAGGCCACGTGGGATCCAATTCCCTTAACCATCAGGCTATGGGTCAGGCCCTTCAGAGGATTTTAAGCCAAGTCCTTACTTTGAAAATAGGTAATTATGGGATTGGATCAAACCTTTCAGTAGGAGTTTATTTCAGTAAAATCAAACAGCCCCAGGTGATGAGGGAACACTTTTCCTATAAAAGAATCCAAATATGTGCATGGCACCTGAGTAAAACCCACAGGTGACCCTTGGAAAATGGTAACGAAACAATGGAAAAATCCAGCTCGTCTTCCCCTAACCAGGAGGTCATGTTAGCCTCATTAGCTTTTTTTTTTGGAGAGGTTTTTGCTATAGGGCACGTGCACTCACCAGACAGAGAGAGACAGAGAGACAGAAAGTGAGACATCACCCCCTCCAGGGGGGGTGGCCGCACCACAATCCCTTCTCCTCCATTCTCCTCTCGGGATCTTGGGCACACACGCACACGTGCCTGGTGTGAGTTTAAGCCACTGAGTCCAGGACTTGAACCACGGTCGACTACATGGGAGTCCAGCGACATAGCCATTACGCTAACTGCTGGTCCCTCATTAGCTTTAATAAACAGGACATCAGATATCTCCTGGTGGAAGGTGGAGCACCCCTGTGTTGAACTTGACTCAGTTGAGTCTCTATTCTAGTGCTCAGAGACTAGAGAAGACAGTGGATCCTGCTGTAAGACATCATGAAGAAACTTCCAGAACAAGCCAGAAGATAAGACATCCTGTAGGACGACTGGCTTGATTTCTCCAAGTCATAAAAAAAATTATGTGTCATGGTCATGCAGCAGTAACACGACTGGACCCCTGGGAGAAGGTTCTAGGTTCCTGTCCTGAGGTATCCCTGTGGGTGCCTGGCACGCGTGTGTCTATGGCTTTGGTTGGCTGCGGCTGGCAGGAAGTGGGAGTGAAAACCCTCAGGAGAGTGCCTCTCTCAGAAGAAATAAGCTTAAAGAAAAAAGGAGAGAGAGACTATTGGAATAAAAAGGACATAACCATTTGCACAGGCGCTGGACTGGATCTTGGTTTGGTTTGGACAGGCTACAAAGGGTATTTCTAGAACAATTAGGGCAATGTGAATATGGATTGGGTATTTGAAGAGATAAAAACCTTACATATATGGAAAAATAGACATCATTAACTAAAATCCAGGCCATAAAACAGTATGTATAGTATTATTTTTAGTAAAAACTATATATGCGTGTATCTCTACACACAGAATTTTACATATATGCACACATATAGTAACCTGGTAGAGGTAAATACCTGGAAGAATTATGGTATCAGTGGTTGCTGGTGGGGACATGAACTTTTTCTTTTCTTATTTTGCTTATCTGTTGTTATGTTACTGCGGATAACATAATTATCTACCATGTTCACCACTGTTGTAGTAATGAAAGGTTTAAAAAATATATTCTCGTCTTTTTTTTTTAAGCACAAACTTTAACATAACATGACCCTGGCTCAGACTGTGTGCTACGCTTCCTGGCTTAGTACCCTAAGATCTAAATGAATTGACCTTTTGAGCCTCAAGTTGGGAACAAAAACCCCTACTATGGGGGTTGATCAAAAGATTAAGAGCGGGACCTGCAAGTGGCATGGTGGTTAAGGTGCTAGACTCCCACAGGGCCAACTATGGTTCGAATCCCAGATTCAGCAGTTTAATAATCACGCTGGGCACGTGTGTGTGCTTGCCCAAAATTCTGAGAGAAAGGAGGAGACAGGATTGCAGCATGGCTTTCCCTCTTGGGAGGTGATTTCTCACTTCTCTCTCTCTCTCTCTCTCTGTCTCTCTCTCTGTCTCTCTCTCTGTCTCTCTCTCTG